CATATGTATAGTCAGTGCTAGTGATCTCCCATTTATAATGAAGGAAATGAAAACAGGTCTGTGGTTCTATAACAAGTATCTTATTGATTATGATCATGTTGTCAATGACTGTATCCAATTATTATTGATACAGAATAACTTTAAAAGGTACAAACAAGACTGCTGCCATTAGTACATGACATTATCTTGAGCTACCATTAATACATTTTTTGCTACTTCAATGACTAGTTTTAAATTATAATTAATCAAATTACACTAATATTTGGTGCATTAACACACACTGCATGGAGCCGCTACACTACTTGTTCTTCAAAGGAAACTATTCTAGGTTGAATGCTTGCTAGTGCAAAGTGACAGACGTCCTTTACAATGTCTTTGCCTATTCTCGGGATTCTCTCAGCAAAGAAAGACAGGACGGATTTGGCATCAACAAGACTCAATCTTTCATCAAGTGGCTTAGATATCTAATAATTAAATATTTACTTATATTATATTATATTATCTTACATGATGTCAGGAAGGCTTCTAGTGCTTCCTTAAGTTCTGCTTTCTTATATTTTGACAATATCTGGTCCAGAAGGTCTTATTAGCACTTTCCATTAGCCAAGCTACCAGACATCTTGCCTCGCATCTTGCTTTGAACTGTGAACATAGGCAGCCATTTTGACTCAAAGCCTCGCCCAGTATCTAAATTTAACCCTAAATCTCCAGCAGACTGAGCAGTACTCAGCAGCACAACAACACACCCGATTGTTGTGGTATTTCAGTAACGAGGTCTCACTGTTGTGGACTTGTGATATCGAGGTCATTTTAATCATTTAAAGGCTATGTCAACTGGTAAGAATAAATCTATTGGTTGGGCTCCTAAATGCAATTTCTATTTTTTAGGTGATCATACCAACGTTAAAACTGTCTTCTACCTCGTTCTCTTATGTATGGTTTTTGGAGTGGCTGTCATGTCTTACAGAGGATTGGGGAGACCAAATTATGTCACTTCTCTTAGTTCTGGCACTGATTTGGTCCAGGTGGCAATAAACCCTCAGTCAATAGCAAATGTTAATACCACTGCTTCTTGTAGGAGGCCCCCTAAACACTTTCCAACTCCAGTAGCATTTCTCCATAAGTTGCAGCCTGCACTTGAACCATCCTGTGATAAATTATTTGATGGACAACATTCAGAGAGACAACGTGTCAGAAATGCTCAAAAACATTTCCAGTTACCATCAGATGCTGAAATACTGAAGGCCTACAGTAAAGGAAATTGTAGCTTCGTACAAAATGACTTTGACAACAACTTTTATGTTTCTCCAGATGAAATAGACTTCCCCATTGCTTACGAGATGCTAATATATTATCAGAAAAATCGTTTCCTACAAGCACTCAATTTATTGAAATTCATTTATAGACCTCACAACGTTTACTGTATACATATTGACAAGGGCTCTCCTCAATGGTGGATAAACGGTGTTAAAGGTTTTACGAGCTGTCTTCCTAATGTTTTTGTGGCTAAGAAACTTGTCAAGATATACTATGGAAGTGTTAGTATTCTGGATGCACATTTGAGTTGCCTCAGTGAACTACTGACAGTAACTACACCATGGAAGTATGTACTGACATTACATTCACCTGAAATACCATTGATAACTAATAGGGACATTGTAAAGAAGTTGGTTGAACTAAAAGGTCACAATATTGTCACTAAAGGTTTTAATGCTTCTGATCCTAAAAGTGGATATGCTTATAATTGGCTAATGGCAAAAAAGGTTGTACCTGGCAGCCCCCCAGGGAAAGTTGGCCCCCTACCAAAT